GTCTGGCGGATGCGCAGGAAGCGGCCGCGCTGGTTCTCCTTGAGGTCCAGGTAGTACTTGCGGTTCTCGCGCACCAGGAACTCGCTCTTGAGCGCGCGCCGCGGCCCGCCGCCCTCCTCGGCGCCCGCCGCCAGCTGCTCGGGGCTGCTGGGCCCGAGCTGCGCGTAGTGCTCGATGAAGTCGCCCAGCGAGTCGCGGAACTCGGCGGCCACCGCCATGGACAGCGTGAGGCGGCTCTTGGAGCCGCCCGCGCCCACCTCGGCGATCTTGAGGAAGCGGCCCTTGGCGTTCTGCTTCACGTCCAGGTAGAAGCGCTTGTTCTGGATGTCCAGCCGCTTCGAGGCCAGCTCCTGCGTCTCCTGCTCGCCGCCGCCGCCGCCGCGGGGCGCGGGCTGGAAGCCGCCGGGTTTCGGTTGGATGTCCAGCCGCTTGCCCCGCCCTTTGCCGCCGCCGTGCTCGCCGCCGCCGCCGCCGCGGGGCTTGTTGTTGACTTTAAGGAAAACTCCTGACGTCAGGGGCTGGCTCTCGGCGACTGGCGGGAGCGGCTTCCCCGCGTCCCCGGTCCTGCCCGCCGCCTCGGCTCCCCTCCCAGTCCGGCCCTTGTCCTCAGGCTTCCCCGCGCCCCCCGAGCCCGCAGCGCCCCGCGCCCCCTCTCCTCTCGCGAGAACATCCCCCTAGCCCGCCAGGGCCGGGCGCGGGGCCGTCGTGCCTGTTCCCGGGCGGGAAGTTACGGGCTTCTCCGCGCGTGGACTCCGCGGCCGCCCGAGGCCGGACGGCAGGGGCGACATAGCGGCGGCGCCTCCCGCGCGCCTGCGACCGGGGCTACAGGCGGGAGCGCGCAGCCTCCCGGGCGCCTCGCGGCCCCTCTGCGCGCTGCACCGCACCTGGAGCCGGGGTGGGCGGGGCCCGACCCCACCCCCTGCACCTGAGGAAGAGGGGCTCCGGGTCTGGGGAAACCCAGCCTGCACCTGACCGTCCCAGGCCGCGCATCTGCGCTGCAGGAAGGGTAGCTCGCCACCCGTGTGCACAGGTTGCAGTGGGATTGTAATTCACTCTACAGTCACAGCCGTTTTGGGGATATTTTCCTGGACTTTGGGGAAGCCATGATGTTACTGCGTTCATGACCAAGACACCATTTCTTTTGAAGTTCATGGCTCCTAAGAATATGGACAATGGAGAGTTTTTCCAAAACATCATATTTTACCATATATTACACTCCATAAAGTTTTAAAGGAAGTTTTTGTTTCTTAAAACCATGTTTTGTCTGCTGGAGTCACCCAGCGAGTACCCATATTAATCTGCCCTGTGGCTCTAGCCTTGTTGACGTACTTGTTTTCTCCCATTGAAAGATTCTTGTGGGTGCCACTCGTTTCTCTCTGTAGAAGTGTTTCTCCTGACAAGCCCTTTCTTCTCTGCTTCTCCAGGTCTCTCCTTTCAAACTATATTCCCTAATATTTGTACAGTGAGTTTTATTGGTACACCTATGACGGACGACGTCTTTTCTCTTGTGAAATGGACATCTGTTGGGGTTATGGACAGGAGTAAGGAGGAAAAGATGTCTTTTCATTAATTTAGCTTTTTCCATTTTTAGGTGAAATTTGTTTTGCCTGACCAGTCTAGACAAAATTTGCCTTTTGAGCATAAACAGTTGGGCTAGGGATATAAAAAATCCAGGTACACGACCCATCTTAAAGTCCTCCAATGCTGCCTTCCCCTTTTTCCATATTTCCCAATAGGCAATGAACTGATCAATAAACAGACTGAAGGCATGGTGGTGCATACCTGTAATCCTAGAACTCTGGAAAGCTGAGGCAGGGGGATCACAAGCTCTAGCCCAGCCCGGGCGATTTAGGGAGCTAGGGAGACCCTGCCTCAGAATAAAAAATAAAAGAACTGGAGATGTGGCTCAGGAAGGAGGCCCTGGGTTCAACCCCCAATATCATAAAAATAAACAAAAATCATAGACCGTTCATAATTCCATTGTCTACACATAAAATATACATAATTCCCATAATTATCAGACTGCTAACAGTCAATATTGATAAAATGATTTGGTTGCAGGTTCCTTGCTGCAAAACCCAAAAGTGGGTCAGATTTTTATTCAGCTGTAGCACAACCCAATTTTATTTTTAAGAAAACAGTCTCGAAACACCTTTTAAATAATATTTTACTCTGAGAGACTTGTGGTATTTTAAGTTACTGATTGACTAGATATCTCTTATCAAGGAAATTTCATTTATTTCAAACAAATGAACTCATGACTGGTCTCACACTCACAGCAATCCTCATGCCTCAGCCTCCCAAGTGCTGGGATTACAGGTGTGCGCCACCACACCTGGCTCTAAAACTATATAAATTAGAATTGGCTTTGTGTGTTTGAAAGATTTTAAGCTTTTACATATTTTTTCTTGTATGATACTTTCATAGATTTCTATAATAAAGCTGCTACAAAAAAAACAAACACAAAATCTATATGATCACAAACCAATAGGAGTATATTTCTCATCCGGCTAAAGTCCTGAATGACAGAAAGTCTCCACTGAGCATTAATATTTAGGCCCAAGCTTCCACTTTGGAGCTCTGGTGTTCAACTCATAATCATACAAAGTGGGCAAGGAAGGTTTTGTGAACATCACTTCCTGTCTCTCAAGCCATCAAACTATGAGGCAGGCCACAAAATGGATTTGGCTTAGAAAGAAAAAGAAAAAGGTTTGGAGAACAGCAAGGCAGGCCCTGCCACAATTTTCTAAAATAACTGCGTTACTTCTACAGGAATAATTACTGAATTGATGATAGACCGAGAAATTTCCCAAAAGGCATAACTTAAACAGAGGCAGAAGTAATATACCATGGATGGAATGTTTGTGTTCCCCCGTCATTCAGATGTGGAATCCCAACCTCCAATGTGAAGGTACTAGAAACAGAGCCTTTGGGAAGTGCTCGGGTCATGCGGGTAGAGCCCTCTGGAATAGGATTAGTGCCCTAGAAAGAAAAGACAAAAGAACTTGGACCTCTTCTCTCTACTTTCCACTGTGGGAGTACACAGGAGGATGACTATGTGAAACCAGGAAGCAAGCCTCCACCAACACTGGATGAGCAGAGGACTGGACCCTGGACTTCTAACCTCTGGGACTTTGAGAAGCAAACTCCTGCTGAAAAGCCACCCAGTGTGTGGGATTTCTACTATAGCAGCACAAACTGACTAACACAAAGAAGAATCTACTGCAATAATATGGGTATCAATCATCGTTTCCTCTTTTGCATGACTGTCTTTCTTATAGCATAGGCCAAGTGCCTATTTCAGAACATACAAGCTTTCCTGTGGAGCAGATTATGGTCACTAAACTGGTGCCATGTGAAACTGGAATACTTAAAGCACTGTGGAAAGTTCCCTCTTCGTTGTCAGTTTGTTTTTTCTGCCACATAACTAGAGTATGAATGAAAATTTTTTCATTCATATTCTCTCTCTCAGACAGTTAAATCTGTTGGCCAGTTAAACAGTCTGTAGGTATTACATTTTATATGTCAGGACACTTGGGTCACAGAAAGTTACTGACCACAATTAACTGCTTATGGAGCTTCAAGCTACAATTCATGTTCTAATTCCAAAGCAACAAGCATACATCATTATTATTTCTGGCTGAGCGGCAGAATCACGGTGTGCAATAAAACTAATACATAGTGTAATCTCAGAGCCACGTTTTAGTGTATAATTTCATCTTCCTAAGGTCTTGTGCATTTTTAGTTGGTTCAGAGTCTGCTGTGTAGGGACTGAACTTTCCAACGTAACAGCTAGCAGTGAAATAATAACAGTAAATTTTCAACCTTCACCTAGGTAATTACCTAAATTCTTTCTTTAGTTATCTTATGTAAATACAGTCCTGTTCCAGAAAGTTTCCCCTATTTAACAACAGTTTCATCTACTAAGGGAAGTACTTATAAAATCACCTGGAAAGTTTCAAAGCCACACCTGACCTTCTTTTAAATCCTCCATGAAGTCTTTCAGTTGTGGATTCTGTGCCATTTCATTAAATAATACCAGTTTGTGTTTTTTAGTAGGAGAAAGTCCATTCTGAATTTTTCTGTTGACCTGCAGACACAACTACAGCACCTTAAGTTACAAATGATATCTGGAACCAGTAATGACATTTTAATCAAAATACTGAATTTGCTTTAGAATTCAATCCTTCTTTAGGCAAAAAGCCTTAGATGGGAGAACAGAACGGTTCTCCCTATTTATCCATCTTGTTTCCCTCCTCCACCCTACAAGTCAGTCTCTGGATGAAGGACAAAACAGTTCTTACCCAGCCGGCAGCATTGTTAGCCAGCTTTGCCCTGGCTCAGCCTGGCACGCAGGACCAGCTACTTGATATGTATGGCCTGGCGCAAAATGGTAACTCCTGGCTTCTTGTTGGAGAAAAATTAAGACTTTCAAGATGGTGACAATAGAGCATTAAACCAAGGGCAAGACCCTGTACATTGCAGTTCCCTGGAGCTGCTAATTTGTGCTTAAATAAGGCTGGCTCTCCAGGGGCTCTTTAGAATGTTGCTCCTGGCCTCTCTACCTTCAACCCCTATAACATGGGTGATGCACCTTTTCTTTCAGTCTGCTACTCCTAATTACCCCTCAGCTTCTGTTTTCCTCTGCTAGAATCCTTTCACACAACCGCACCTCCATCCCACCTCCGCACCTCCATCCCACCTCCGCAGAAGGTCCTAGGTGGATTCAACATGCCTCTAGGCTAGTTCTTTCCCTTCCAGAAAACTGAGCTACAGGAAACATTCAAACAGCATTTGACCCACAGGTCATTCTCTTCCTCTTAGTTCTGCACAGAACCAATTGGGCAGCCTGTTTTCCAGCTTCCTGAATGGAAGTCAGACCTCATTCTGAAGCATCGCCCCATTGAAGGAACAAGCTGTCCAGGATGCCATGGAAGCCCATGGAAGCCTCCTGCCCTAAGCTGAAGATGCATCTTCCGCCTCCTCCCCTCCAAGGGAAGTGAGCACAGCTTTCTCATAATCCCTTCACTTGATTTTTCTCCACTATTTCGTACCTTACAGTAGATGAGAATGTTTGAGTCCTAAACTAGGTTTTGAACTATTTACTTCATAAAAGTGACCTAGCTAGAAATTTCATAATTTTTTAATAACATCTTGGAATCTCACTTGAAATATCAACTTTAAACCCTACTAAAAAGCATATTCTCTCTGTGGCGTATTTTCTCTGTGTCTTATTTGGATGTGTGCTCACATATATTAAAAAATTATCAGCTATTACCAAATAAAATATATTTAGATTAACAGGTGTTCAAGCAACAGAATTAATTAAAATAGTATCTTCTCTACATTTGTTTGTATTTCTGTTTGACAAATATATGCCAACAAATTTGCCTTTTTCAAACATTATTACCTACATTAATGTTAATAAATATTTTCAGAGACTTCTGCCCCTGATGAATGTCTCAAATGTTTTTCCTTTAAAAATTTAAAGTTGAACATAATGGAAGTTTATCTCTGAAGATGCTGTAATATAGATTCTACAAAATTGAGAATGAAAATGCAGAAGTACAGTTTGTATCAGAGCTGGTCACTGGACAAAGGTTAAGTTGAGGATCAAAACAGGCATGAATCATAGCAGATGAATTCCTTTTAAAACAATGCAAGACTCCCTTGATTTCCAAAGAGGAGTTGCCATCTGTATTAGTCACTTTTCCATTTTTGTAGCAAAATACCTGACATACATAACTTGAAGGAGGAGAGGTTTATTTTGGCTCACGATTCCAGAGGT